GCTTTGCTTGGCATGGTGCATTGTCGTTTGGGCCCGTGCGATCAAATCCGACATAGTCGGGCGAACTGGTATGCGTGCCGAGTTGGTATCGTTGATCCGAGTGAGGGGGCCGAACGGGCATTCATTGTCCTTGGGCGCGTGGCTGAAGTGAGGTTATGCGGTGCGGATTGTTGCCATTGTTGTTGCTACTGCTGTTGTTGTTGGTTTTGGTTGTTGTTGTTGGCGTTGTTCCCTACCTAGGCTCTGCCTAGAAGGGTTTTTACTCTCTGGGCTTTAAAAGGGGCCGGGCAGTGGAAAGCGCCCCGGGCGGTTCCCCCAGCATCCGCCCCGCGGTTCCCCCAGTTACGTCCCCTTAGCTTAGCGTCGCTTATCTCATCTTAGCTTAGCTTATTCCATCTTAGCTTAGCTTAGCTTCATCTTAGCTCAGGTTTATCTTAGCTTAGCTTACCTTCATCTTAGCTTCGCTGAGCTTTAGCATAGCAGAGCACATCATAGCATAGCATAGCGTAGCATAGCATAGCGCAGCACAGCATATCATAGCATAGCCCAGCATAGCATAGCATAGCGCAACATAGCATAGCATAGCATAGCACAGCACAGCACAGCACAGCACAGGCTGAGAGGCCTGAGAGGCATGGCATAGCGGAGCATCGTGTGTGCCAATCGCGTTGCCAGTTTAGTTTACTGTTCGGGTAATTCGCATGGGTGTAATTCCCTACCTAGGCTCTGCCTAGAGGGTTAGCTCAGCTTAGCTTAACTTAGCATAGCGCAGCGCTGCACTAGCATAGCATAGCATAGCATAGCATAGCATAGCATAGCATAGCCAAGCACAGCATACCATAGCATAGCAAAGCGCTGCATCGCATAGCATATCATAGCATATCATAGCATTGCATAGCTTAGCATAGCATAGCATAGCCTAGCATAGCTTAGCATAGCACAGTGCAGTGTGACACATCATACCATAGCTTAGCATATCATAGCATAGCATAGCATAGCGCAGCATATCATAGCATATCAACTAATGCTGCTTTCCTAGGGGCTCCAACTTCTAGGTAGGGTCGCATTGGTGTAAGTGTTAGTTGGTTGTTCGTTTGTTTGTGTGTTCGTGTGTTTGTTGTTTGTTGTTTGCTGATAGATGATTGCTGCTTGCTGCTGCTGTTGTTGTTGGTGATGTTGTTGTTGATGTTACTGCTCTCGTTGTTGGTGTTGCTGGTGTTGTTGGTGTTGTTGTTGTGGTCGTTGTAGTTGTTAGTGTTGTTGAATTCTCATTCCTAAAGAAGACTTGCTGTTGAGCCCCCCACGGGGGCACATTGTATTCTTGTCAGAAAAATTCTCCTCCCGGGGCTCGCACCCGAGCTGGCGCCAAGAGGCGCCCCCAAAGGACCCCAAGAGGGCACCCCGACACCCCAAGATAAGGTTTGGGAGTGATTGCGGCTCCGATTCGGCTTGATAGTTGATCGACTTTGCAGGGCAGCTTGAGGCTGCGGCAGGCTCAGAAATTTTGACCAAACCCATGCCGAAAGGCACCCAAACATCTGCTCGAACCACCCTTTCCCCCTGGCAATGAGAGGGGGAGCTGTTAAAACGTGGAGGTGCCAAGGGAGGGGCACGTAAGCCCATGCTCCACTCAGGACTCGTCTTACAACTGTCTCATCTGGTACAGCTTCAAATTCGGATTCGCCTACGCGTGGCACTGCGCGGTGCACGCCTCATCGCAGAGGTCTACGTAGGAAAGCTGGATTTATTCGGCAGCTAATGACGTGTTGTAGTTTCACCTGACTCTGCCTACTGGTGGCTCGTACAGTGTAGCAGACGGCACAACACTCGAGATTCCGCCGCGTGATAAATCAACATAAAAATTGCCATACCCATCGGACATCCCAGTTCTAGATTTGTGGGATTACTCCGCCCTCCCCCCTTCCTTTCTTCTCCAGCATGCCCCCTTCCTCCCTCATCGTCTTCTTCGCCTCCTGCTCCTCATCACTTTCGTCGTCTTTCTCCCTACTTACCCCCTCTTTCCATCGCCATCGCCTCCAAGGCTCAACGAAGTTGCGGCAGGAGTGCCCATACGCAGGCTCCCACCTCACACTGGGCAGGAGCGATATGCGACATATCCGATGGATCGCTCTTGTCGTAATGCCCGCGGCGCTGGCGTCTGAACGCGACCCCAGTTGCGAGTCGACCGCCAGCGGGGCGTGCTGGTCCCACGTGGGCACCGCGGAGGCGGAAGCGGAGGCCGTGGAACAGGAGGAGGCGGCGGCTCAGGACATGCGGCTGCTGCAGGCGCGAGCCCCGCAGGTGGGCAGGCGGAGCGAGGAGGCCGTGCAGCCGATCTGGCACTACGCCAAAAACTGCCTGCAGCCGACTCCTGGCATGGCGGTGTGCAATATCCCCGGGATGTGCGAGCACTTCTGCGGCCCTGGCAACGCGTGCTGCAGGAAGTACTCGACTACGGACCCTGCCGAGTGTCAGGGTGTGACCTTCTTCCCTGTGGCAG